ATCTCATTTTTTACCATTTTTTGGTTTAATATGTAACAAGATAACCAATTATGATATATTTTTTGTTATGTAAATTTTAATTGAGCTATGGTATAGGCTCAAGAACTGCTTCAAATGAGGGCCTAATATAAATTGGAAAAAAATGAAGAGGAGAATTGTTGAACCCATGCTTAATAGAGTGCTCGGTGGGGTTCATTACAAACCAAATTGAATAGAGGCAAGGGGATTAGTCCTCTACCATGTGACTCACCCCTAAGCACCTCATGAGAGAACTGAATGAAATATGGAAATAAGGCCCATTGTTCATGGCAATTAATTAGAGAATTTTGCTCTCAAATCTTATTAAATTATCTTAAGTAAATCAATTAGAGAGGTTCTCTCTAATCAATTTAGTGTGACCCATTTTAATGATAATCAACCTAAGTGCAACTCAAATAAAAAAGTGAATAAAAGGAAATGTTGGTTGGCTATCTTGATTGAGCACATGTGGGCTAGCTACTTGCCAAATGACTTTCTTCTTGCGAAGTCAGATTCCTGAACATGTGTTGGATTTTGATTCTCGTGACTATGCCCATGCAACATTGCTTTGTAGTTTTTGGGAAGGCTTGTTGCTTGTATCTGTTTCTTTTAGTTAAAGAAGTTTCCATTATCAATCAAAAGTTAAACTTGATGAATTTTGATCAAAATGAGAAAAAATCTTGATTCAATCGCCCATTGAATAGAAATCCATGATAATACCAAAAAGATCACATCTATTTTTAACTTTTGTGGATTCTTTGAAAGCTTAGAAGAAGACAATAGTTTCACTTGTTTAAAATCAAATCCGTAGATATTGTTTAAAAACAATTAACATAGTTTTAGTTTTACAAAATGAAGTAAATCCACATTATCATCACCATCATCCAAGCCTTATCTCAACTTCCCAACTATATGGGGCTGGCTACATGAATCTTGTTTCACTAGTTCTTTTTGTTTAATGTCATATCCTTTCTTAATTTATTGGTTTTTGAATCATTTCTTACTACTACTCATGTCCATTTTGGCCTACCCTCTTGCCCTTCTAGCCTCTTCAACTTGAAACAAATCACTTCTTCTTTTGGGTAATGTTAAGTATATCTACATATGCATACAAAATATCTTCCACATACAGAACACCTTCATGAGTACGTGGTTGACATCAGAACCTGGTTGGTGGATTTGGTCTGAACTTTTTTAGGGGGCAAGGGGGTTAGGAGGGAAAAGTTGCCTATGGGTTTGTAGATTTCATTTGTGGGTGCTGCTTGTTCTTTGTTCCAGGGATGGCTATTGCTAGGCGGGACCCCTTGAAAAACTGCCTAATTTTTTTTTAGTTTTTTTCTTCGAAACTTGTTCAAGGGGGTCAGTTTAAGGCCCATCTACCCCCCTGAAATAGGTGGGACCCCTAAACACCTTGTGTGGGGACGTATCGGAGGGGCCCCAATATGACAAAAATGTGAACCTTGGTATACATCCAACATACAGGTGATCTAGCTGTAAGTATTGCCTAGAAGATCAATAGCCAAACAAAAGAAACAGTTGGGATAACTAAAAAATGATATGACACCATTGATTAGTTAAGATAGATGTAGGTACACAATAAGAGGTTAAGAGTTAACAAATCAGTTAGAAAACTTGAGCATAACCCCTTCTATCTCACCATAATTTGTTACAACTGAGCCCAAAACATTTGTTGTCTAGTAACCCCTTAGCCTAACTATTGGTTGATCTTTGTACCCATTGTTTTTCCAAATGCCCTGCATAGTCCACAATTGAGGATCCAAGTCTGTGTTTGCGTTTGTCCCTTTCTGAAGAGAAATGTCTTCCAGACTACTAAAAGTGGATTTCAAACTAGGAAAAGAATTGCTAAAGGAGAAATGAAAAGAAAAAAAAAATAAAAATGAATTCCATAGTTAAGTAATACCTCTACGTCTGCATAAATGGCTGGAAAGGATAAGCAACCTTCATTGAAAAGCTCTGTTCTTTTGGAATATTTGTAAACTCTTGGGTTTATAAGAAGAATTTCCTCCCCTTCACCACATTCACCAACAGGATTAAAAACCATGAGTCGAATATTGAGTCCTACTTGTGGTGCTGAGAGCCCAATGCCATCAGCCAATCAGTTCTGTACAACAATTAACAATGGGTCACTTGGTTTGTCTTGTAATTTTTTTTGCAAAACCAAATTGAACCCTTCAAACCAGCCCCAAACTAAATCTTGTTTTTAGTTCTTCTGCGTTTGGAAGAAAGTTGTTTGGTTTCCATCTAAGTGGGTTACTTGGTTCTCATGTGTGCAACCTATGAATGGCTTGTTTTTAGGACAGAATGTGTGGGATTCCTGAGATTCTTGAGCTGGTGGAACTCCCCTAGAACGTGATGTACTGCACTAACTCCTTGTACTCAAGCATGCTGAAATCCTAGGATTTGTTTAAGCTTAGACTGTGGTTTTCCTCTTCAAATACTATTGTAGGAATCTCATTTTAGTTTTTTCTATTATTATTTTTATTTTATTTTTTTCAAGAAACAACAAAAAAAGCAAAAAATAAAAATGAATAAAAAAGTGGCTGGTTGTAGGTTATGCTTAAACGATCAGATTTCCCTTTAAATAATGGGCTTTGAGTGCTTTTTCTCATGCAAACATCAGTCAGTCTCCTAATAATAATAATGTACTTTGCTTGAATCATTGATACGAGAGGGGTTAAACCTGAATTCAGGATAGCATTATGGGTTACTTTGTACACATAAGAGTCTTAAAAATCATTCCGAAACAGGTTTCAAATCATTTGGTGGTCATATCCTTTGGACTTCATTTTCTATCAAACCAAACATAGCCTAAACATAGGGTTAATTCACTAATTCAGATGCCCCTTATCTTTAGGGTTTGTGCCATCCCTTAGAATAGGTGAAAATAGAAAGGAATATGTTCTGGGGATTTCTAATTGACACATTCAGAATTTAGGGGGTACTCTTGAATGTTTTTTTTTTTTGTTTTCATTTGTTTTTAAATTTCCACGGTAAAAAAAAATCACAAAAACCATCATGTGTATATATGCCTTTTATACACCATAATTGATCTTCTTTGTAGTTGGATTCATTATGTTATGTCATAATTGGAACAAACAATGATCTTTTGTAGAAACTTGCCTGGACCACCACTAGATATGGATAGTAAGAAAAAATTGGTTACAACTTTGCTTTGTACTTACTATGAAATGTTGGTGCAATATACTTTTCTGGTTGTATTGGTTATGAATGCCATTGAAAATAGGAAGAGAATGTTGAGGGTCCCTAGGAGATTAAGTAGTGATGGTCAAGATTACATCAATATGTAGACAACTGAGTAAATGATTATATGTAGGCTTTCAAATGTCAAAACTATGGTCATGGTTTCAGATGCGGCGTGTATATACCATACACGAATGGATAGGAGTAGTTATCTTAGACTATGTGACTTGTTTAGAAGGGTAGGAAAGTTAAGGATAGTAGACAAATGGGAGTGGGTGAAATGGTTGCATGCTCCCTAAACATTTTGGCACATGATGTCAAAAATAGATAGCAATAATGGCATTTTAGGAGGTTTGGGTTTACCATAAGTAAGTACTTCAATTTGGTGTTGAACTCGGTGTTATGATTGCATGAATTTATACTTAAAAAACCCCGACATGTGATTGCAAACTCGATGAGAAATGGAAGTGGTTCAAGGTTTGTCCACTTTTCTATATATTTGTCTTTCCATTACAACATATATTTAGGATTATTGTCCTTAAATTCATCTTTCTTTTTTTTTGTGTGTGTAGAAGTACCTAGGGGCTGTAGGTGGAACCTATATTAGGGTTTGAGTACCTTAAAAGGATAAGCCTAAGTATCGAACAAGGAAAAATGAAATTGCAACAAATGTCTTGGGTGTTTGCTCCCCAGACATGCAATTCATTTATGTTTTACTTGGTTGGGAGAGATCTACCCACGACACCAGAGTCCTGTGTGATTCCATCTCAAGGAGAAACAACTTAAAAGTACCACAAGGTATATAATAAACCCTAACCACTAAGGAAATAGTTTAGAGAACCAATGCAATTATTTACTAGTTTAATATATGTTTTGCTACTTGTCTAGGTTGTTATTATTTGTGTGATGCTGGGTATTCTAATAGTGATGGATTCTTAACACCTTATAGAGAATAAGATATCATCTAAATGAGTGGATGCATGGGCACCATCCCAACACCCTAGTTGAGATTTTCAACATGAGACATTATATAGCCAGGAATGTAATTGAGAGGACATTTGGCCTCCTCATAATAAGATGGGCAATACTTAGGACTTCAACTTGGTATCCAATAAAAACCCAAGTTAAGATCATTATTGTGTGTTGCCTCCTACACAACTACATATGGAGAAGCATGCCAAATGACCCCATGGAAGTTGGACTTGAAGAATTTTTGGTTGGTGAACAAGACCAAAGTGCAACTAAGGTAGATGATGATTGAACAACAAGCATAAATGGTAGTAGCAAGTGGAATGCATTTAGAGACAACCTGGCAAATCAAATGTGGCAGCACTTTAGACACTAATAGCAATTTGTATTTGTTACTTTTGTGTTGTAATAAAGTATTACTTGTCCATTTTGTTTATTATGAGACTATTGTATGAGTTATTATTATGATGTTCAATAATTAGTGGTTTGTTTTAGTAGCATTTGTTGATTTATTTTCTTATATTTGCCTTATGTTTTTATATGACTTGTTTTTTAGACATGGCTAGCAAAGACAAGGAAAAAAGGCAACCAACTAGACAAAATAGAACTTGGTCAAAAGAAGAAGACAAGTTAATTGAAGGATTAATTATGCTAGTTCATATTGGGATGTGGAGATCACATAATGGGACCTTCAAGTTAGTGTACTTGAATCAGTTAGAGAGGTTCATGGAAACGAACCTCGTAGATGTGGGTTGAAAGCAAACCCACACATTGAGTCTAGAGTGAAACATATGAAGAGACAATATGCAGTCATTTGTGAGATGCTCGGCCCCAGTTGCACAGGATTTGGATGGGATGATCTAAAAAAGTGTATCACTTGTGAAGAAGAGGTCTTCAATGGTTAGGTAAAGGTAATTGTTATCAATTATACTCTATAATGAGGCAAATGTTTATATATCTATTTCACATAACTTCTAATTTGTTAACATACTTTTATTTTAATAAATGCAGAGATAGAGAAACTAGGGAGAGATAGAGACCCCTCCATTATATTTGGGAGAGATAGAGAAACTAGGGAGAGTGCAGAGGCTCCTGCTGATGCTGCAGAAAATGTGAAAGGGAGGAGGTGTATAACAACCCACCTATGGTGGGTGAATCAGTCAATGGTGAAGAAACTCAATATAATGGAATAGAGTTCATTCAGGATAATGGGATGGCTTCTCATTCTACCCCACAATCCCCTAATCATTGACCTCAATTAGGTGCTTCATTAGCCCCTTGCCCTCATAGAGCAAGTAAGAGATCAAGAAAGCAACACAAATGATGATCCCGTGGCTAGGGCTCTTATAGATGAGTTGTTTAGGGTGGAACAACATTTTACCGTAGTAGGGGAAAGAATATCTCACGTGGCAGATGCTCTTATCGATAAAGAGGGTAGGTAGATGGGGATGAGGGTGTTTGACAAGTTAATGAAGGTCCCTAGTTTAAGCATGAATGCAAGGATGAAGGTAGGAAGGAAGATGACTAGTGACAAGAGTGAGGTGGAGTATTTTTTTAGATTGCCACCGGATTATAGACATATACATCCTATCCCAACTCCTTCAAGACCAATGGACACCTTATATTGTATTGAATGAAGATTGAAAAATAAAGAGTGTATGGAATTGAATAAAAAGTCCACTATCCATTGTTTGTCTTAGGTTATGGAATTGAATACTGTTCATATTTCACTGATAAAAGTACTGTTTATATTTCATAATATTTCTATAGGAATTTGGTGTGATGTGAGGCAAGGAAATACTACTATTAGTCTGGTTTAGAAATATTGAGTTCCCTTTTTCCATTGGAATTTGTTTCGGGATGTGAATTCAAAAGATGAATGTTAATTTCATATGTCCCCATTCCATATTCTGACTGAAATCTCACTCTTTAATCTTCAATAGCTACTCTAACTGTACTTAGCTCCCTATTCTATTTTTTGTAAAAGTCGTTCACATGCTATCTTCACAATCACATTGGAGCAAATATGAAAAGTCCATCCAGCTTCACCTGACAATGCTATCCCAAATGACGAGTTGGCTGATGAATATTTTATGTGCAATGATCCTTTTGACGGATCTTGCTGAATTAGAGCGTGCTAAAAGGACATATACTAGCTTAAAATTGCCCCAAACTCAAAACTTGCCTTTTGTTGTGGGCAATATAGGAGTCGTTTACAAATGCAGGCCTCTGAACACAAAAGAAATCGGTGCAGGAGCATCAATGGTGTAACTGATTTTGCTAAAGATGGTGAACTTATAGTCAAGCTGAATGGTGTAACCAAGAAGGTCTTCAAGTTCAACTCTGTTTTTAGCCCACAAACAGGACAAGGTAATTGATAAACGAAGCTTTCTCATTGTAGAAACCTGCCAAGGTAATTGACTTTGTTTTCAGCCCTCAAACTTCCAATAAGGTTGCATTAGGCTACAAGTGTGTGCTGAATTCCATGGCAGCAGAAGATTCTCTTGTAATTCATTCATTCATTCATTCATTCATTCAAAACTATGTTAATTCTTTTCTTCTCTAATTAATCATGCATTAATTCGTTTATATAGGCCAATTTTGCTCGATGGGAACCCGCCCATGGCAACTTCAACTTCCGGCATCCATGGAAACAGTACCTCAAGGTCACAGCCTCCATGCGTGACTATGCTTATTGCGTAGAGGCTCTCAGTGGTCGTATCAACGTAGAGACTTAGGTAATTTGGAACAGTTTCCAGTTCATATATACCTACATAAAATACATACATACGAAGAGAGAGAGAGAGAGAGAGAGAGAGAGAGAGAGAGAGAGTTAAACAAAGCAGTAGAAGCATCCGACTACATAAAGAAGCATCCGAGTGAAGAGTGCTTGGCATTAAGCTCCATCTCTTCAAGCATCTTGAGGGAATTGGTGATCAACATTAAGAGTATGAGGACCTCTTCCACAATACATTCCGTAGTTGAAGAATTGAACAAAGCAGTAGAAGATGTCCAAAATGCCCTAAAATCTATTCCTAACTAGCTCATTCCACCACACTTACCAATAACCAAGGCTCCAGAAACAGAGCACAGAGAGCAGCAACCATCAATCACTAGTTCCATACCTCTCATGGAGGTTCTTCCTCTTAACACAGTAGCTTCTTTGTTGATTAAAATTGTAGCAAGGATCCAACTACTAGTTGATGAAGTGGATAAACTAGCAAACTTGGCAGGTTTCAAGCCACCAGAAAGTTAGAATTCCAATCAGAGCCAAGCCCCCATGGAACCTACTTTAGAATTCCAAAATCATGAGGCCCTGAAGGTTCTTCAACAGGTCTAGGTTCTAAATGGTTAACTTGGTAGGGGTCTACAATGTGTATCAAGGCAATCTGAGAGAAGAAGAAGAAGAAAGAAGAAATAGAGAAAAAAACCCTGGAATCTACGTACTGACAAGTATTTTATATGAGACCATAAACAAAAAAAAAGAATATATATGAATTATTTCTCAGTTGATTGATTCAGTATTTGGACAAATTATAGTTGAACATGTTATTCAACTTATTATTTGAACAGTTATGTGTTAATGAGACAAAATGTCCAAAAAAACATGAATTTGGGCCAAGGGGTAAAATTGGAAGGAGATGAGAAAATAGCAATTTTGTATGCCCTTAGCTTCAATCCGATTTCATGTACTTTTGTTATTTAGTGGAAATAAATAAAGTGCATGTTTGATTCATGTTGTTTGGTTTAATTCTGTATAAGACCCTAAAACTGGACACTTATAGAGACTCGTGTTAGTTTTAAATGTTCACAGCCATTGGATAAGTCTGGGGAGATTTATCTTGCCAAGGCTGATACTGGTGTGCCACCAA